ATAAAGGGTACCAAGAGACACTCACAAAGAAAACAGCTGGCTGGATGTTTGCCTTTCTTCTTTTCAAGCTTCACTTCATTTGCTGATGTCTTGAGCTTAGTCAAGAGGGGGTGCAGTCATCATTGCACAGCTCTGCTCTTTCATTTGGTGCATTTGATTTTTCAGTCTATGCCCTTCACAACCTGGTACAATGATTCCAGAAACTTCAAGTCCTAACAGTGTCTCCACTCCAAGATACTCCATATACTCCATATACTCCAAGACCAACTTTTTCATTCAAGGCTGCTGGAGGAGTTTGTCACAGTGAAAAGATTTAATACAGGGTGTTTTTCAGCATAAGCTTTTTTTACCCCTATTCCTTTTCTCCCCTCTGCCAGGAATTACTGTACAAAAAGTTCCTTTTTTAATGCTCTGTTTCAAACACCTGTGGCTTCCCTTGGTGTGGCTTGAATGAGCCACATCTTTTCCCACCTGCATTTGGTGAAGTCATTATCTGGTTATTTCAGCCTTTCATTCCACGGCTACTTCTGTCATAGAAATTCTTTCCTCTGTTGTTCTAAAAACTACGAAAGGCACCCATACAAACCTCAAGTTTCTTTCTAGTTTTGGAGCTGGCTGCTTCAAATCAGGGCTGAGTTTGCTTTCATAGCTTTGCCCTGACAACACACTTGCTCTTTGGCACCCTGCCTCCTGCGGCCCGTTTGTTTGTTCACAAACAAAATTTGCTCAACTAAGCCAGTAATTGATTTTCCTTTCCTTACAGATAGTGTGTATCTGCTCTTTTTGATCTGCAGACCGGATCACTGCCACATGGAGAAGCCGAAACATTAATAGCTTCTGTCACTGCTACCATTCTTACTGTGAAAGATCTTCTGGAGGATTAGACAAAGGTTGTGGCTGCATAAACAGAAGAAGGCAATGCTTTGGGCACAAACCTGGAGCAAACTGCACTGTGCCAGCTCTGATCAAAGAAACAGACTATGTTCTGTTGAAAGCACAGAAGGCAAGGAAGACATCCCTTGAGATGGCACTGAAAAACAGACGAAAGCTGCCCCAGTTTGTCCAGGGAAAAATATGTCAATGTTGGGAGTGGGGACCACAAAGGTTCTTTCTGTTTCTCATTTTGGACTTCTGCACAAGGATGAAATATTCCTCCTGCTACTGTGATCAACACAGTTAAGGAAATAACTTACAAAATGATATACATGAAAAATTTTAAATGGTGTTGAAGCTCAATCCATATGGGGGGGAGGGGGGAGGGGGAGGACGTGCAGTGGGAATCTCACTGTGCCGCTGCTTCTCCTTCACTGAACATTAAATCTGAGTTTCTACAGTCATTTTTAGGGCATCATGAATTAAATATCTCTGTAGAAACATAAGGCATGGTGAGAAGATGCCGCCACACGTAAGGCACATCCCTGTTCTGAACAAGGACTTCCCAGACAGTTGAAGCATGCTGGATCTGGGATTTTGGCTTGGTCTGTTATGGAGGAGATGGCACACTGCCAAAGTCAGAAAGGAATGTGTAAACAGTTAATTCCAGCTAAAACAATATGAGAGAGAGAGGCAGAAAAACTCCCAGCACTAGATTCTGTCACCTCACTGAACAGCAGTGTGGGAAGAGTCCCTTTGCTCCTATGGTGAGTCTCATGGATCTCCATCTTGTGAAACTCCATCAGACTGTGGGGTTTGTCGGACAAGGCTGAAGCAGAGAAAAGAAAGACTGAAATACAAAGAAAAGGTGTAATTTAGAAGCACAGAGTGTTTTCTCAGTGCCTTGGACTTTTTCCACTTGTACCTGGTGGATCTGGACTGTACTATCTTATGTTGCTGTTGTTAAGCTCCTCAGCTTGCTCTGCTCCTCTCTCAGCACCACTTCAGGCTCTCAGGTTCCAAAAGCAATGAGGCTTACACCCATGTGCTCCTCTCTCTTCCCCTCTCTTTTTCTGGTGTTCCTGCCCTTTCCATCAGATCTTGAACCCACCAGCCAGTTTCAGCTGCAGTTGATGGAGGATCTGAAATCTCAAAGCTGCTTAGGCTCCTGCTGCAGGTAATCACAGAGAAAAGGTGCTTTCTGCTGCTAGCAGGAGAGCATCCAAGAGGTTTTTCAGAAGTGCCCAAGGGATGGAGGGACTTAGCTACTGTGCAAATTTGTGCAGACTCCTAGGAGACTAAATTCCTTTGACCTTCCTTGGCTCTTGTAGACAACAGTGTTTGAGAGCAAAGTGCAAGACTTTCAGAACCCACTTCAGACTTGCAGAAACTCTCAAGACTTTCTTTTCTGACTGACTAAAGATTTCACTCTGTTGCCACTAATAGATCCCCCTCCCCATATCAGTTTATAAGTTTGGGTTAAGCTTTGTCTACTAAAAGTATCTTATATGAAACACTACTTACTGAAATATGATCTTTGCAGGTTTTAATTTTCCTGCAATGTAATCTTTTTACTTAGGTCATTTATTTTGTCACGCCTTGGTATTGGTCTGGTCCAAGTTTGGCTGCAGGGCTATGTTCTCCTGACATTTAGAGCAAGAATTCCCTGGGAAATCAGTCAAGAGATTTGACATTGCTGCTGGCCAAACTCCAGTGGGTTTAGTTTTACTCTCCTTCTCTATTTATTGTGGAATCTGTCTGTCCAAGAGCTGCACATTGAGTTCCATGCTAGAGAAGAAGAACTGAAAGGGGACAAAATGGTCATTCATTTGGGGGAATTCATTCAGGCTTTTCAGAAGGGTTTTACAAGAAGCTGTGCACTTAAATGACTGCTGAGCTTCCTTAGCCCTGCTCTATTACTTCCCTCACAAGACAATTTGGATTCATTGCTTTTTCTTTGCTCTCTCCCCTCATAATAACAGGCAGCAATTACAGTTGGAAAAGCAAAATTAAGATCTAGGTAGTATACAAGCCACCTGAAGGCTTTTCATCTTTAGAAATAATTTAATTTTAACATGACTTGGACAGGCCCTTTGCTAGGAATATGAAAAAAAAAAGAAGAAGGTCCTTTTCCTCCCCTCTTACCACAAACTGAAGCGACTCCTATTGCAAAAAGCTGCGTCAGTGGCAGAGACAGACAGGATTTGATGAACTGGAGGGAAGGAGCAGTAAAGCAGACCTGGGCACTCCTGAGGGGTACAGGAGAGTCAGGGGAAGAATCACAGGTCAGCTGGAAATGAAGGAGAGAAGTAGCTCTCTTGTGGAAGGGGTCAGTGACATACAGCAGCACAGGGCAGGGTGCAGGAGGCTCTGCATATGCCAGGACGGAAAATCAGCCGAACATGCTTGTGGTCTGTGTGCTGAGGGTTGTGTAATCTAAGTCAGTGGGGCCAAAAGGGATTTGTCTAACTTTGCTAGCTGAGATGCTGCAATTCAGTTAAGCGATCAAAGATTTTACCAGCCACAGAAAACATAGCACTCTGTATATACCACTGCTGTATGCTCTTTAACATCCAGCCATGCTTTCCTGACCACCCTGAGTAGCTCCCCCTTACAGTTCTGCTGCTGTTTCTAAGCTCCTCAGCTCCTCTTCCCTCAACACCACTTCAATTTCCTACAAAATTGAAACATATCTTCATCAAAGAATTATGGAGTTTAAGACTATATGGCAACATAATATTTTTTACTTCACTTTATATGTTGTAGACCACTACACTTTACCTCATGATACATTTAATGAGTTCAATAGCTTATATTTGGTTAAATATATTTTACAAAAAGCATTCTTGCTTTATGTAAAATCTCATTGGATAGAAAATACACCCATTCCCTTGGTAGCTTATTCCCAAGACTAATGATTTTCATCACCAAAAATGGTATTTG